CGGGGTGGGCGCGGCTGCATCCCGCGCCCCTCGGGCCCTCTCTCCGACAAAGGGATTTTCCCACTGAGCGGCACCTTTGAAAATTCTCCCGTCCCTCCCGGCCGCATTCTCCTCACGTCCTGGCACCCAGGAATTTTAAAATCATTTCTGCAAGCAACTCTTTCTGTGGACGGGATGGCCCCCTTTACGCCCCACCCCTAACATTTCCAACACAGTGAAATGGGTTAGAAGGAGCTGTAAAAACTTCAAAGAAGAGTCAGTGCCGTAAAAGGCCAATGGAGCGGTGTAGACAGACGGTCCCTTGCAGAGGGAGCGCTGGACCCTTCCAGGAGCTCCGCGTGAGATGGTGGCGTGGAAACGCTGGTGAGTGTGGAGTATGACCCGTCTGAGGCCTGAGTAGCGCTGCTGGTCCCGTTTCTCTTTCCTCTGCCATCCCAATCAGAGCCTTGTTCTGGGAGCCAGCAGAGGGGCGGCCTGCAGGTAGGTGGGTGTTGAGGCTGCAGAGAGCTGCTTCTGAACAGCTCACAGGAAGTGGATGATAGAAAGGCAGGAGGAAATACTCTGACAAGTGTCCACGGAAATTAAGGCTGTTGAGGTAGAAATAATTCGATTTATCGGAAGCTAAATGTGAGGATCCACCCAAGAAGACTTACCAGCAAAGTCGGGCATGTTTCAAAATGTGTTACACGTTGGAAGGGTTTTAGAAGAAAGTTTAGGAAAAGGGAGGAGGACCCCTCATGTCGGAGTTGAGTTTTTTTTCATTGGAGGGTGCGGTACACACGTTACAGTCACTGGCTTCGGGTGACAACATACAGTCTAAAATGTTTTGTGCACAAGAATATCAAAGTTTATATGATTCAGAAACAAGTCAAGTGTTCTTTTCAATGTCAGTTTTTACATATTAATCAGTACATCAACAGTTCGAGGAACTGACAAAAAGATTTCAAGAACTCACAGATTTTTTACTCAGGGACAGGATCTAAGCCATGAATCATAAGACCTTTCTCAGATGGCTTAGTTTGGAAGCCCTGTCAAATGTGGCATGTAGGTTATCACCAGCAACATCTGAAGCAGGCAGGACCTGCAAGCACGAGGGCACCTTGGGGCAGGGCTTGGCTCTCTTCTCTGTGGGTCCACAGATACAAGCCTCAACTTCCACGTGTACCTCTCCACCCCAGCCTGGCCGCTGAACACGCATCCAAGAGATGGCTCATAGGGCTTCAAACTCAATGACCAGGACTTCAGTCTTCATCTTCCCCTTAAATCTGAACTCCATCTTCCCCATCTTATTAAATGTACCGCCAGCCACCCGTGCACCCAAGTTGGAATCCTGGAGTCCATCTTCAACACTCCATCTCTCACAGCTGCCATAACCAAGTGTCAAATTCTCTTACTTCTCTCTCCTAAATATAGCAAATCTGACACCCCTCCACCTGCACTCCCAATACTCAATTCAACTCACCATCCTGTCTCCTAACCACATATAGGAAATACGTGCGACAGGGTCCCCATCCATTCTCCTCTACAGCTGCCAGGATGAGCTTTTCAAAGCTCCAGTCGGATCGTCTTTTCTACTTAAAGTGTACATTGTTTTTAGCATAAAATACAAATTTCTTAGCATGGCCTCTGCCTACCTCACCACCAGCTTCACTGCTTTCCTTTCAGTTCTTCAAGTTAGCTAAGCCCCTGGCCTCCTCCAGGCTTTCCCACCCAAAACACTCCCCACAGTGGCCTCTTTGCCTAGCCCACCTTTATTCACCCTCCTGGCCTCAGCTCGATGTCACTTACCTTCCCTAAGTAGACAGACTAGATTAGGTCCCTTTGTGAAATTCTCCCATACTACTAGCAACACTAATTACTAGCTGTGAGTCTTGGGGAGTTCTTTGACTCTCCTGTGTCTCAGTTTTCTCATCTTTAAAAAGGTTGTACCTCTTAGGACTGTGGTAAGGACCAAATGAGTTAACAAGTGCCAGTGCCTGGCAACTTGTGAATCTAGGTACATATCATCTGTCATTGTTGCTCTCTATTTTTCCTTCTTAAAAAATAGTCACAATTACAACTCAACAAATATTTATTCATTTATTTAGTGTTTGCCACGCCTTTATATGATCGACTTCTTGAGGGTAGGTCCATGCCCATGTGTAGCACTTTTATCCTCAACACTTAGCACAAATGCCTCACACAGAGTTGATGTTTTAATTCATAGTATTAAATAAATGTCTGAAGGCATCTGAACACTTTAAAGCTGGCCCAATTCACACTCACTTATCCATACATTCCAGGCATATATTAGAGGCTGGTGATGGGCCAGTTCTACGCTGAGTGGATGGGGAAGCAGAAATGAAATGAATACATTCCATTTCCTCAAAGACTTATGGCTTAGTGAAATAAGGCATGTACACAATTAACTATAATGCAAGGTAGAAAGAGTGATTATTGTGAAAAGTGGGGTATACCAAGGGAGGTGCAGAGAATAAGTAGGGCCTGGGAGAATGTGTCAGTTGGGACATTCAGAGCTGGAACAGGGGATTTCTGGGAGTGAGGAAATCATGAGTGTGATTTCCCTTCTCTCCTTGCCAAAATCTACTCATCCCATAGGCTCAAATGACCCCTTTTTAGGAAGCCTTCCAGGATCCTCCAGTTGTAATGAATCCTTCCCTCCCTTGTTGCTGTCTTCCTCTGGCTTCCAGTTAGTTCATTCTGCCTTCTGTGATGGGATGGTGGATTGCGTATCTCTTTTTTCATTACATATCAATTTCCTCTGAGGATCTGGGCTGAATCTCAGCAGTTGCATAAATTGCCCTCAGTTTTGGCAATTTTTTACTTTCAGTATGATGCCATTCTACTTTCAATGAATTTAAAATAGAAGCCAGATGGAGAACTTGTTGGGAAATAGGATGTGGAGCCACCGGACACTGGTGTAGGGCCAAGTCAAATATGAAAACTTGGGTCAGAGGAAGTAGTTCGGATTTTTTTCAGTAGGCATTAGGGGGTTTCTGGAGGGGAGGAATATAAAGGATGTTGTGCTTTAAGATGATTAATCTGCCAGCCATGTGTACAATGGACTGTAATGCAGAGAGTGGAGATGGAGAGGCTGGGTAGGAGGCTGTCAAAGTTTTGCAAAGGAGAAGTAACAAGGGCCCAAACTGGTGCTGTGGTCTGGAGGATAGAAATGAGTAGCACAGAAGGGTGTGGTAGCTAAGGGAGCCATTTTTCCTACTGTAAAAATCAAATCAGACAATCTGACATGTGTCACCATTCTTTGGGGGTAATGAGAAGGTAAGACCCTGAGTTCAACTCCTGGGTTTGTCACTTACTTGATATGTGACTACGGCTGTGTCCCTGGAAATCTGTAAGCCTCAATTTCCCTATTCTCCAAATAGGGATAATGCTTCCTACCTCTTGAGTTGTTCTAAGGATTAAATGTGATAATATATGTAACAGTACCTGCCACATTGGTGGCATTTAGCATTTGATAGCTGTTATTACCAACCACAGGACTTTAACATGTCAAATGAGAGTGTAGATAACACTGTTTTTTTAAAACATAGACTTATCACTTGAGGCCAGAAGTTCAAGACAAGCGTGGGCAACATAGAAAGACTCCATCTCTACAAAAAGTTTTATTTAAAAAATAGCCAGGTGTGGTGGTGTGTGCCTGTAGTCCTAGCTAATCTGGAGGATAAGGCAGGAAGATTGCTTGAGCCTAGGAGTTTGAGGCCACAGTGAGCTATGATTGTACCACTGTACTCCAGCTTGAGTGACAGAGCCAGACTCTCTGCACACGCGTGCGTATGTGCGCGCACATACACACACACATTCCCCCCAGAGAGTTCCCATATACCCCATTCCTGCATCCATTCTACACATGACTGGCAGATTAATCATCTTAAAGCACAAGACCTCTATTATTGTTGTCTTACATTAGCATGGTATATTTCTTACAAGAAATGAGATATCGATACATTAATTAAAGTCCATAGTTTATTCAGATTTCCTTAGTTCCCCCTAATATCCTTTGTTCCAGGAGCCCATCTAGAATACCATAGTATGGTTCTTTCATCAGCATGTCTTCTTAGCTCCTCCTGGCTGTTTCTCATGCTTTGTTTTTGATGAAATCACTTTTTTATAATTAGAACATACACTTAGGGATTAAATCACGCATCCTCCTCCCATGTCCACCCTGCCTCTCCCCTTGTCCCAGTATCATTTGTTAGAAGGAAGCCAAGGTGGAGGCCAGGTGCGGTAACTCACGCCTGTAATTCCAAAACTTTGAGAGGCCGAGGCCAGTGGATGACTTGAGGCCACGAGTTCGAGACCAGCCTGGCCAACACGACCAGCCTGGCTGACCATGTCTCTACTAAAAATACAAAAGCTAGCCGGGCGTTAGCCAGGCATGGTGGCACGTGCCTGTAATCCCAGCTACTCAGGAGGCTGAGGCAAGAGAATCGCTTGAAACCAGGAGGTGGAGATGGCAGTGAGCCAAGATTGCACCATTATACTCCAGCCTGGGCAACAGAGCAAGACTCTGTCTTAACCAAACAAACAAAAAAGAAGCCAAGGTAGGTTGTGAACCTCATAGCCAGTCTCTTAGAACTCTGTTTTACTTA